GTCTTGCTTTCCAGGATTTGGTAATGTTTGTTTCCTTCTGAAGTTTGTCTGCTTCAGAGTTCACCCTGGGGCCTATTTCCTCCCTTTCTGGGGAGTGATGGGGGCCACAGAGATAGACTCAAATAACCTAGTGCCCTCTAAGAGTTTCCTCTTCTTCCTATAGCTGTTTAGTTTTCATTTAAGAAATGACCCACTCTGGGGCGCCTGGGTGGCTCAGTTGGTTAAGCGACTGCCTTCGGCTCAGGTCATGATCCTGGAGTCCTGAGATCGAGTCCCACATCGGGCTCTCTGCTCAGCAGGGAGTCTGCTTCTCCCCCTGACCCTCCCCACTCTCATGCTCTCTCTATCTCATTCTCTCTCTCAAATAAATAAATAAAATCTTTAAAAAAGAAATGACCCACTCTGAGCTTTTCCATGTGCTGTTTTTTCATAAGTATGTGACAACACAGAAATACAGTCCTTTGAGAAAATTTGAGAGCCATGATCTGCTTACTTCCTAAGTAGCCATCCTGGCTTTCATAGAGCTTATAATCTGTGGAGAAATGAAAAGGCAGCGAACATTTATTTATACAATGTGATCAGTGCTGTAGGTATAGACTAGACTTCCTCTGGAGTAGTGAGGAAGGACCATTCATAGGCCATGTGAATACCTTTGGGTGAGTTAGAAAAAGGTGTCCCTTCTTCTAGAGTGGTGAAGCTCTGTGACAGGCCACAGTCTAGCAAGAGGAAATCTGCTTTTATTTTTAGCTCCTTTTTGCCTCCTTGGTGAGAGATCCGTGAATGGCATAGAGCCTATACAGTCATACTCCGTGTTGGAGGGAGGAGGGGTTGGGAGGTGTGATTCCTGAGTTGTATCTTGAAGGAAGAGGAAGATACCTGCACGCATAGGTGAGGTGGCCGGCATTTGAGCCAGCGTATGCATGACTTGGAATCATGAGCATCTTAAAATGCCAGGTAATGTTCTATATCCTTTTTTCTTTCTAGGATGAATTCCATAATCTATTTAATCAGACCTTTGTTCCAAAGCTAAATTATCGCCAATGTTTTATTACTTAACTGAGATTATTGCAGTCATCATCTTTGTTGTTGAATTTTTGCCCTCATCACTGATTATTTTCTTGGACTAAATTCTAATTTTTCATTTCTTGTGGATTAAAGTTTCTCAAACTTTACTCCAGAACAATTTTAATATTTTTACGACCAGTAGTAGACTTAAGAACTGTAATTCATGTTCTGATTAAAGTGAACTGCTAAATGAGTGTCATCAGCAAATTTTATTGTAAGAAATTATAAAATTTGATTAATAAACTTAAAAAACTTACCAAATAAAAAGTAACAGGGTAGTAAAATTGTCTTTATTTTATATAAAAGACACAATGAGCAACTTAAAGCAAAACACCTTTTCTGAACAGATACAATGCCACAAAACATGCAGTACCAGTGGAACTTGTTTCCTAAGCATTTAAGCATTTCAGATGTAAGCAGTGTTGTTATTTGTGAGAGGAAAATATTTTGAGGGTGGCAGAGCATGGCATAAAGATTAACAACATGACTCTGGCAGCAGACTGCCTGGGTACAGTTCCTAGTATACAGTGGAGCTAGATGTATTACCTTAATTTCAGTTTCCTCAACCATAAAATGGGAATAATACCAGTAGCTCATTTATAGTACTGTTGTGAGCATTAATGAGTTCATGCATTTTAAGTATTTAGAAAAGTACCTGGCACATAATAAGCACTATATAAACATTAGCTTTGTATGCTTCTGTTTGCCTATGTGCCCGTGTAGTTCTTCATACAATATATATAATACACACATCATATACACAGTAAAACATACATGTGAAAAACCTACAATATGATGTTTGATGCACAAGGAACCCTAAACATAACGAGGCTTTTTATATCCAATGGAATGTTAATTTTAAAACTAATAATAACTTACACTGAATTTGGGAGAGTCCTTGTTCTGGGTAAGATGGACTGAGCATACTTTATTACCCTGTCTTTCCCACTGAAAGTTGCTATAGAACCAGAACAGCATACATGGAGCAGCAGTTTGAGGTCTCTAAAAAGTAAATAGTAGCAGGCTGATTGGGGAAGAAACCCAAAATGCGATGTGTTTACCTTTTTTCTCCCCCCTCCCAGTATCTCGTAGCATGGATTCAACAAAGCACAAAACCCAGAAGGGGGTTTTGTCATGGATAAAAAGAACTGCAGGAGAAAACCTAGTTCAGGCTCAAGAAGTAGGAAGGGGATCTAATGCTCAGAGAGGGTGGATGGAAATCTACCTTAAAAAAAAAAAAGTTCTCGGGGCACCTGGGTGGCTCAGTCGGTTGAGTGTCTGCTTTCGGCTCGGGTCATGATCCTGGGGTCCTGGGATCGAGCCCCGCATCGGGCTCCCTGCTCCGCGGGAAGCCTGCTTCTCCCTCTCCCACTCCTCCTGCTTGTGTTCCAGAGAGGGTGGATGGAAATCTACCTTAAAAAAAAAAAAGTTCTCGGGGCACCTGGGTGGCTCAGTCGTTAAACGTCTGCCTTCGGCTCGGGTCATGATCCCATGGTCCTGGGATTGAGCCCCGCATCGGGCTCCCTGCTCCGCGGGAAGCCTGCTTCTCCCTCTCCCACTCCCCCTGCTTGTGTTCCCTCTCTCACTGTGTCTCTCTGTGTCAAATAAATAAAATCTTAAAAAAAAGTTCTCTGTTTTCTTGTGCCCTGAGACAGTAGCAGTGGGGTCTGCAGAAGTCTAAAACTCTGAAGGAGGAGAAATTTTCTCTGTAATTGAAGAAGCTGTGTTCCCCAGAGGGTGGAGTAAACTCTTACTGCCTTTTGTTTCCTGCTTCTGTTCTTTCCTTGCTTGGCCCCAGGGGTGGGTACGGTTAGGGTAGCTGCACAGTAGAGTAGAATAAATAAGCCTCAGTTATCTGGCCAGAGGACTAAAAAGGGGACCCCTAGGAAGTAGAAAACACTAGAGAGACCACAGAGAAGGAGGAGCTTTGGAAATCAACTATTTGAAGTTGTTGATGAACTCCTGGGCTCACTCTAAGTTGCTCATGCATGTGTCTGGCCCTGAAGAGCATACCATACTCCAGGAGAAGTGAACTCAGGATAGATCGCTGGCCACCGAGTAGTACACAAGTAGGACAGAGGTGAATGTCACTTCATAGGCTTTGGAAATGGAGCCTGAACAAAGCATCAACACTCTCCATATAATTTAAACAAGACATAGAGTCTCGTAACATCTTAAATGTCAAGGATACTACCTAAAATTACTCAGCTTATGGAAAACCAGGGAAATTTCAATTCACAGGGAAAAAGGTAATCACCAGATACTAACATTGATGTGACATATATGTTGGAATTATAAAGATTTTAAAGCAGCTATTATAAAAATGCTTGAGCAAGTAAACACTCCTGAAGCAAATAGATTGTCTCAGCCAAGAAATAGAAAATATCAGTAAGAAATCAAAAATATAATTACCAAAATAAGCTCACTGGATGGGCTTAGTGGCATTATGGAGATGACAGTGGAAAGAGTTAGTGAACTTGAAGGTAAATAGAAACTATCTCATCTGAACAATAGATAAAAGATTGAAGAGAGCCTCAGGGCCCTGTGGGACAATACCAAATGTTTAACATTTGTATCATTTAAGTCCCAAAAAGGAGAAAGTGAAGTGTAAAAAAAATATTTGAAGAAATAATGGCTGAAAAATTCCCAACTTTAGTGAAAGACATAAACTTGTGGATCCATGAAGCTCAGCAAACTCCAGCATGATAAACTCAAAAGAAATCCTTGCTTGGGAGCTTTATAATGACTGCTGAAAACTATAGATAGGGGGAAAACCTTGAAAGCAGCCAGAGAAAAATGATGCTTAACATATAGGGCAGCAGGGCGCCTGGGTGGCTCAGTCCATTAAGTGTCTGCCTTCAGCTCAGGTCATGATCCCAGGGTCCTGGGATCGAGCCCCACATCGGGCTCCCTGATCGGCTGGGAGCCTGCTTCTCCCTCTCCCTCTGTCCCCCCACTTGCTTGTGATCTCTCTCTTGCTCTATGTGTCAAATAAAATCTTAAAAAAAAGAAAAAACATATAGGGCAGCAGTGATTTCAGTTCTGTGGATTTTCTATCAGAAATCATGGCAGTCAGAAGGAAGTAGAACAACTTAAAAAGCACTCAGAGGAAGGAACTGTCAACCCAGCATTATATGTCAAGCAAAAATTGCCTTCAAAATTGAAGGTGAAATAGTTTCTCATATGAAGGAAAACTAAGAAAATTCATTGACAGATTTCTAAAAGAATTGCAAAAGGAAGTTCTTTAGATAGAAATTATAAGGAGGGAACTGGAACATCAGGAATGAAGAAAGTACAACAGAAATGGTAAATATATATGTGTAGATACAGTACACTGTTCTTCTGAGTTATTTAAAATATCTCCAAAGGGGGCGCCTGGGTGGCTCAGTTGTTAAGCATCTGCCTTCGCCTCAGGTCATGGTCCCAGGGTCCTGGGATCGAGCCCCGCATTGGGCTCCCTCCTCAGCGGGAAGCCTGCTTCTCCCTCTCCC